CGATGTTATCGTCATGCGATGATTTGTAGATACTTTATTTTTTACCACGATATTTTCGACGGCGATGGATTTAAACTGCGAAATTTTTGAACCGCTTTATTTTGGACGACGATATTTTGTATCACGATGTTTTAGAACTGCGATGTTTTCTCTTTGCGATGTTTTCTCCCACGATGTTTTGTATCACGACGTTTTCGCCTTACGTCGTTTTCTCCGCGACGTTTTCGTCCGCGATGTTTTCGGCTGTAACCGTTCTATGAAAAAGTAATTTAAATTTCAAATCACGCTCTTCAAACCAATTAGAAATCAATATTAAGTGGCGACAAAACGCATTTTTCTTGCTAAAAATAACCACTTGAATCAATATCGAAGTTGTAAACTAACGATACTGTGTGACTAACAACGATACTGAGGTAAGTTGTGGTGTTGCGTGGTTTTTTTACATGTATCTAGAGAGCAGCTGCACTGCAAGAAAATATTGCCCAGATCATAATTCCACAACCATCACCTCGAAGAGTTGTCAGTAGATAAATGGGGGTTCATGAATTCGGTCTATTTGGCACGATATTCTGGCTTTGTCATTTACATAGCAGACCAGGAAACGAGATCGATCTGAACCAAGCAACTTCTTGCCAATCTTCAAATCATTATCGTTTTAGTGCTATTGGCTCACAGCAACCGCGATTTTCTGTTTATTAGTGCAAGCAAAGGCATCTTTAATGGTCTTCTACTGTTCAAATTCTTCCGTTGCAATGTCTGTCGCATTGGCGGTTCGGATATGCTTTTTCATTTGTACTGACCTGCAATTAGTCGTGTTTTTGCCTTTTAAATGCTGGAGATGTCTCGTGCTAACCTCCTTTCACCTCTTTCGTTCACCAGCGTTTCTGACCAAAATTGCTCACTCTACCTGAAAGCGTTTCTGCTCACCTGCAACTCTTTGGACACTCGAGATACTGTTGCACGAGAAAATTTCGGCTATTTAGAGATGTTGAAGCCGAGATTCTGTGCTTTGTTCATGCCTTGTTCAAAGTCATTCCAAATATTTTACCAATTTTCATACTAACTGCCGCGTTAACTGTTTCTTTTCAAAGTTAGAGTGCCTTATTTAAGCAATTCCTGGCTGTTTTGTCACTATACTCATTGTCGGCTCAGGCAAACTCGAAGAGTTTCGCAAAAATCGGTACCCGCGTGAAGTCGCTATGTTGGCGCAATGCTTCCGACTTTCGAATTTTTGTAGTTTCGAACAGTTTATGGTACATGTCGATACAAATGAAAGTTCAGAGCCGTGATAAAAACTGGGAGAGTACGTAAAAGAGTCTAACGGAAACACCTCTGCAGTGCAGGCCATGACGAAGGTAAGTGCGCATGATAAGCAAATGTCATGGAGAAGGAAAACAAAAAATGCCTAAAGCTCACTGAATATGAGAGTCCTCATGTGTGTAGTTAACATAGCAATAGTAATTAGCATAAAATAACATTGAATATAAAGCATAATGGGAAGTAAAAATAAAATATATACAATATATACAGGTCAGACATTTACAGCAAAGACTATACTCATTGTCTGACAGTTCCATATTAAAGAACGGGTGTCATTAGTATTCTGAATTTTTCGGTTAATTCGATAAAGAAAGAAAGAAATGAAATAATACGCTTTAAATTTTTTTATCGACAATATTTACTTTGAATACAAGAACACTGCTATTCGAGATAAGAAAAGTATATTTAATATTGATTTAAAATTTTTCCGCAATTAAGCTTATTTAATCAAATTACTTAAAAGGGTTACAGCCGAAAACATCGCAGACGAAAACGTCGTGGAGAAAACAACGCAAGGAGAAAACGTCGTGCTACAAAACATCGTGGGAGAAAACATCGACGTCGAAAATAAAGCGGTTCAAAAACTTCGCAGTTTAAAAACATCGTCGTCGAAAATATCGTGGTAAAAAATAAAGTATCTACAAATCATCGCATGACGATAACATCGCAGACATACTTTTTTTTCAGGTTTTTATAATTGTAAATGGATATTCCCGTAATGATTTGTGAGCGCAAGATGGTAAGAAGGATATTTTTACTTTCATATTTTTTATTAATCAATAAATTTTTTGCTGAGAATAAAAAGGAAACTTAAGCATAGAAAATTAATGCAACTTATAGCACTTAATAGAATTTTAAACCGACATAGTTAACTAACAAAGGCCATTAATAAATCGTTTTTTATAAAGTTTTTACTGGTAATTTTTCATGAAAAGTATAATCTATAAGTTTTATCGGAAAAGAAATTCGATAGTTGGTAAAAAGAAGGTGAGTCGTTTAAACTAGGAAAGGTTGCCGAAGCTCAGAGAAGTCCGTCACCAAGGATAAATACATAGCCTGTCAAATAGAACTGGACTTGGTGTTGTTGAAAAATTAGAATTTCCACATATGTAAGCAGTTTTGAATGGAACACCTTCACTAATGTAAATCTTTCACTATTACTCTTAGGTATGGGAAGCAGAGTGGCTTTTTGGTAAAGAAGATTTTTTAAGAAAAAAAATCAAAATATATTGCCTGTTTGATTTCTAGGGATTAAGTTGTAACGGCAGAGGCTCAAGATTATGAAGTGCCTAGGTAGTGGGATGTTGAGTCTTAAAGTAAAGAATAAAAGGCCCCCTGTTTTGTTTAAGTTGCATTTAATTTTCTATGCTTAAGGTTTCCTTCTTACTTTTTCAGCAAAAATTTATTAGTTAATAAAAAAATGTGAAAGTAAAAATTCTCCTTCTTTACATCTTGCGCTCACAAATCATTATGGGAATATCCATTTACAATTATTAAAACCTGAAAAAAGTATGTCTGCGATGTTATCGTCATGCGATGATTTGTAGATACTTTATTTTTTACCACGATATTTTCGACGACGATGTTTTTAAACTACGAAGTTTTTGAACCGCTTTATTTTCGACGGCGATATTTTGTACCGCGATGTTTTAGAACTGCGATGTTTTCTCTTTGCGATGTTTTCGCCTACGATGTTTTGTAGCACGACGTTTTCGCCTTGCGTTGTTTTCTCCGCGACGTTTTCCTCCGCGATGTTTTTGCCGCGATGTTATCGGCGGACACCCTTAAAAGACGTGGTAGTTTTGGATAGCCCTTTTTTGGAAAACCAATGATTCATCAATGATCGTTTCTATAAAAATAGAAATGTCTCAATAATCCACACCATTTTCGCATTTAATTATTTGTGAATCTATTTAAAATGAATTTTGAAATTTCCACCTTAAACTTATTTTTCATTTAAAGAACACAAAATAAATATATGCATTTATAGTTATCAAAAATTGTGAAATGTTTATGGCATAATTTAGATAATCGACATCTGTCTGATCTCTTGATCTTGGAGGATACGAAAGCGCCAGTTGTCACAGAATGGGAAATTAACTTTCTGTAATATATTGTATTATGTACAGATTATTCCACATTAGCCGGTACCACCTGAAAAGCCTCCTATCATTAATCGTCGATATGCCAATTTACTTTTTTATAAAGCAGGATGTAAGTTAATTGCTGTCTTTTGAAAAATTGATTAAAATTTGGGACTTATATTCTATGAAGCAGCAGTGATGATTAAATGGTGAACGAACTGGTTTTTTCAAACATCAGCTGACTGACTGAGGTGAGTCTAAGTTCATATTTATTTAAGGTTTTTATATTCTAAATCCATTACTTACATCTGTTGATTATCTAACGGTAATAAAGAACCAGCTGTTCTTCCAAACTCCGTCGGAATGAGTGACGTAAGATTGGAGGAAACTCCACCAGCTTTCATGGCAAACGAGAGGTAAGCAATATTATTATTATTATTATTATTATTATTATTACTATTATTATTATTATTATTATTGGCTACAAGAACGGGGTAATACATCTTTTTTTATTTCAACCTCAACTTTATGTCAGTTGAAGAAAGCGCATATTTCCATTGCATCATATTTTAATATTCCTTTTTTTCTGTAAACTATCTTCTGGAAACTCGGAACAGATTTTTTCACCTATCGAATAGGATTAGATTGGAAACTGCATTATTAACAAGACTGATCATCAGTAAAATTTATTAGAAGGTTAAAAAATTCTCCCCGAGAGCAAACTAAAAATTTTCATAGAAGCTTCTGAATTCTCATTAATGACTCAACTTTTACTCCGTATGTGAGACGTGGAAAAACCTGTTCCAAGCCTAGCCATTTGTCTTTCTATCAAACACTATAATTTCCAGCCCACCAGCGGCCGAGCGGTAAAGTCGTTGAACACTGGTAGTTCGGTCCGAGGTTCGAATCCCGCGAACGGGCTGGCTGCATGGGCGTTTTCGTGGTTTTCCCCATGTGTAACGTGTATACGAGCCAGTTTCCCTTAGAAAGTCCTCCACGAAAGGCATCCCTCCCCTTAGGCAGATAGCCCTCGTGCTTTGCCATAATTAAATACACCACCAACACACCTATAATTTCCATGGAAAGCGCTACAACTTCAACTGATAACGTTTTTGGACTGAGCTCCAACGTAACACCTCTAACCCCCTTTTGCTTATTTGCGGTTATTATTATGTTGAACTTCATTTATTTACCAATAGCCGATTATATCCAGTGATTAATTATTATATAATACATTTATAGTGTTGTATAACACTTTCAGTGAGCATAATCAGAATATAATAATAATTGAAGCAAATATTGCTTCAAGTATTTGAAAAACATCTTTTGAGCAAATAATTATTAAAATCTATTCGATGATTTATATTACAAAAGAGACGATCATAAAACATCAAGGTGGCACCTAAATCGTTTACGAATATTAGTCATTTGAGGTGAAGTAGGTCTTGATGCCTATGTGAATCTATCACCTAAAGTAACATCGTCTTATGTGCTTTGTTAATCATATCAAGTACATCTGTCGATTGTAAATTATGTGTTTTCATGGAGATTTCTACAGCAGATAGCATATTTTCTCAGTCGATGTGAAGATTTAACTCATGCAATTACAGGAATCGAATTACTTACCAAGTGCCCTTCAACGAAAGGAGCATCCACCATTTCGCTACCGATACTCCACCTTCTGTCTTCGCGTGATCTATTCCTGGGTCTTCTGTCATCAGGATTGACGCCTTCACCTCCACTACTATGTCGCCGAAAAGTGGTCCTTCGCATTCGAGTGGCTTGGTTACCATCTCTGAGATTCATCGATGCGTCTAAAGATCTCCTGCTGCTGCGAGGACTGGTTCTCCAAGGACTGCTCTTTCGCTGCAGCTGCTTCGTATCCAGCACCATTGAATCTCTAGAGCCAGTGGAGACCCTGGAACATATAGTTTTGGCAAATCAAAGAAGCTGCAATTACTAACAATAGAATTATATTTATAACGCGAAAGTGTTACTTCCAATTATTTCCTGCGAATACAACATTCATTGTTTATTGTTCAATATTATAGAAATTAAGATAGTTTTCCATTTTTTTAATACCTTACATTTATTATTTGCATGTTGAAAAACGTGAATAGGTGATACTGGTGATAAATGAGTTTGAAACTGAAGTTTCAAACCTGGTAAATTAAGTTGTGATTTAGAGCCAAGATTTAGTATGAGAGCCATTTTTTTTCTTTCCATCTCTGTAATATCGGGTTTAAACAAAGTGCAGAACAAAGTTCATGCTATATAGCATATTTAATTTGAGTCTGTAATATATCTGCCTAGCTTGGTCTAGAGATTTATTTTATTTGTGCATAGAGTTTAATAAAATTCTTGTTAATTGTTTGTATTTTGTTTTGGTTTACCTTCAAGGAAAAACATGTGAAAAGAACATGGTAAAAACAAATTTTACTTGTGTTTAAGAATCTTGTACAAATATACCTATTTAGTAACTGTATACCCATTTGGTTTTGAAAATAGCGTACAGAAGCTATTGCCAAGTCACTTGGCAGTGATTGATTCTTTGGTAAAGTATGGATGTTTGTGAATTTTGCTTTTAAAGGGAATAGAGGCATGTGACATTCTCTGCGAAGATTTTTACAAAGAAAATTGATGGACTACAAATATTCTAAAAATCATGGTTTGGAAAAACCATTGTCAAACCAGTTGATAAGAGCCTGAGTCTCTGATAAGTCATGACATCTGTGGCAGTCCCATCTCGTAGAATACAATCCACCGTCAGACAGGCAGAAAATCGGTAGAAATAAGAAGATACCAGGTTTCAAACCTGGTAAATTAAGTTGTGATTTAGAGCCAAGATTTAGTATGAGAGCCATTTTTTTTCTTTCCATCTCTGTAATATCGGGTTTAAACAAAGTTCATGCTATATAGCATATTTAATTTGATTCTGTAATATATCTGCCTAGTTTGGTCTAGAGATTTATTTTATTTGTGCATAGAGTTTAATAAAATTCTTGTTAATTGTTTGTATTTTGTTTTGGTTTACCTTCAAGGAAAAACATGTGAAAAGAACATGGTAAAAACAAATTTTACTTGTGTTTAAGAATCTTGTACAAATATACCTATTTAGTAACTGTATACCCATTTGGTTTTGAAAATAGCGTACAGAAGCTATTGCCAAGTCACTTGGCAGTGATTGATTCTTTGGTAAAGTATGGATGTTTGTGAATTTTGCTTTTAAAGGGAATAGAGGCATGTGACATTCTCTGCGAAGATTTCTACAAAGAAAATTGATGGACTACAAATATTTCTAAAAATCATGGTTTGGAAAAACCATTGTCAAACCAGTTGATAAGTGCCTGAGTCTCTGATAAGTCATGACATCTGTGGCAGTCCCATCTCGTAGAATACAATCCGTCAGACAGGCAGAAAATCGGTAGAAATAAGAAGTTGTCCAGTAATTATTTCCTGAAAGAGGACACTCTCAAGTCAATTGATGGGGGATTACTTAGTCTCAAGTAAAGCATGGTCTCCGTTCATGCCTATGCGCCTGCGCGAAATCCTTCGCGTGGTTGGTAGAAACGTGGAGGTATACGAAACTCTTAGCTAATTAGTATCTGTTGGAATCTTCCACTCTCAAGCTAATTGCATAATAACACTGAGACCCTAGGAAAACATGAATGTTTGTGACCATCGCGGCTATGCAAAGCAGGCGTAAGTTAAAACTTTTGTGAGGTTCGTGGAAGAGTGAAGAATACGTACGAGGACACAAATCATGTCCTGGAATAACATGGTCAAAACTAACTGAAAATTAAAATGCCATCTGTCACCATGGAAAACAAACGAGAGTTACATTCATTTCTTCCATCAGTGGATTTGAACCAATAGTTATGTATGAAGATTTCGTTTTGCAAAGCTCTGAGAAATATTTAGCATTTTAATGCAGATTACTATATAACACTACATCAACATTCCATTTACGTTACACAAAGTAACATAGTTTGTAAACTTCTGAAAATATTTGTCTTTGTTAATAAGCTGGTTTTATAAACCTTTTATCATTATGTATTTCATTTTATTTATTTATTCAACTATTTATTTAATTAGTGTATTATGTCTAGTACTTTTCTCTTTTTCCCTTGTGCAATGTTTTTTTAATTTTGAATTTGTAGCCACTTTTTACGCTTATATGTATATATTTCATATATTATGTTGTATAACTTTTAATTCCAAGTCGACTGATTTGAACTGCAAGGTACCTCAAGTACAACCAGATATTATATATACGGGAAATTTTTCTTCTTACCAAATTATGGTGACAACTGCTATTAAGATGACGACATGTGCCGACTTTTTGCCAACTTGAAAGTATTCCGGAAGTGTCTGGAAAAAAAACGTTTTCGTAGCCCAAGCTGTGTAAACTTCCAGAAATGCTTATCCTCTCCCATGTATAAGTAGGAGGTGGTGAACAACAGTCTGTTATTTAATTTTAGATTCGTGCAAATGCTTTGCTACTGAGCTTCTTTGCAAATGCTTTGCTACTGAGCTTCTTTGCAAATGCTTTGCTACTGAGCTTCTTTGCAAATGCTTTGCTACTGAGTTCTTATCGATAATCATTGTTTCAGATTTGTTCTGCAAGTAGTTCTTGAAAACTGAGATATTCATATCTGCGTAAACCTTAATATGCACAACTTATTAATGTATTTTAAGGAAAATTTCATCTTATAACGATTTATTCTTTTTGGGATAGGTGGGTTACAGAAGCTATTAATCTCAAAAAAGTTTCTAATATTCTTGTACATCAGGTATAATTATTTAAGGAGATCTCCAGTAACACATAGAGCTGAACAATGATTAATTTTATTGGCAACAAAATGTTGTTATTCAGTGTTCTCTAAAAATAACATAAAAATATGACAGGAAAACTAACAGGCCTTATAGTCAAACTGATTACACTCACGTTCAAATGTTAAGCACACAATGCAAATTAGCAGTTTTTGAGAGCGTGCTTAAATTTCAGTGGCTCGAAATCGCTGTAGATGCAGACGGCAATATGCGAATATCATATGTTAACAGCTAATCACAACTGATTGTCCGAACGTATGCAGATTAGGCAGTCGTTGAACACGCCAGCGTTCTAAAGAATTTGAGGAAGTTCAGTAATTGCTGACACAAAGTGTTTATAACTTTCGTAGGATAACTTTTGATGATAATCGTGTTTTTATGGTTCGAAGAAGACGAAATGATGAGACAGGATACTCAATCAGAGATGTCACTGTTTTCTTTGGCTTTGATCGCTTGATAATTTTGTACAGCCATTATGTCATTTTGAAGCAGAAGACATGAAAAATGAGCTTCGCCTTTTGCGGGACTCAAATTCGGACCTCTCGAATACGCGCCAAGTGAGGTACCGTTACTCCTCAAAGACATGCTGGAAGGAGGGAGAAAATACCTTATATACTCCTCCTTTTAAAAGGGGACCCAGTCGCCATATTTTGGTGGTGACGAATTCTCATCCACCACCTTTTAGTTCGGGGCCACTGTATATTCATTAACTTTTTTGATGCAGCAGGGCATGAAAAATATGCAATGCTCTTGCCAGAGTTCGAACCTGGACCTCTCGATACGTACCGCGGATGCTACCGTTAGACCACAAAGAAATTCTGGAAGGAGGGGGAAAATACCTTATAATTTTAAATGTGGAAACATTTCCAAAATTCCAAATCAAATGGTTGTCTGGAGAACTATGTCCGATCGGCTAAGGGTTACCACTCCATTCAAAGATTTGCATATTTCTGTAAAAGCCAAGCGGCATCGACAAGTAACATCATAATTATTACTTCCCTTATTGCAGCGTCACATGGTAAGACAATACCTGTCAGTACTGTGTGCCAGTTTCTTAACTGGGAATGTTCACCCGAGTACCAAGTCTTTGTGTTTCTCAAACCGCCCAATCCAGACAGGCAAAATTAAAGTGATATCGTCAACATCTCAATTAGACTGTCTCAGATAGCCGAAACGTCTTGTTTGTGAATGAGTCCAGGTTTGCCTGGAACCAGATTATGAGCTTGTAAGGGTTCTGAGGCACACTGTTGGTTATTTGAGTACGCAAAAGCACTTGAAGGCAATCCGCTTAAGGGAAGAGATGCCTCCATGGAGGATTTTGTATCGAAACTGGCTTATATTCAAGTTACACGGAAGGAAACTATGAAACCCAACAATGCAGTCAGTTCGTTTGCCTGGACACGAACCCAGGACGAACTACCAACATTTAGCAGTCTTTAACAGTTCGGCCACAGGTGGGAGCACGATGCACAAGGAATCAAGCCCAGAGCATCATTGAACATAACACATTAGGAGGCGGGAGCGTTATGGTATTAGCTGGAATTTCAATGGAATGTCGCTCCTAGATATACATCTTGAAAGGCGGTTCATTGACGGTTGTGCAGTATCGGGATGAAGTCTTGCTTTCCATTGTGAGTCTAGGCTGCAGTAGTCGGTTTTGATTTTCTTTTTATGAATGACAATGCGCGTCCTTAAACGACGGGTACTTAAAGAGTGAAGGCAATGTTCTCTTGATCTTAATCCGACTGAAATTTTTGGGAACTGCCCTAATAGAGGAATGGCCATTGCTAACAACTGCGATGGTTGGTCACGTTGTTCAAAGCATGGGCAATAACTCTGAAAATTACGCGAAGGGTCTGGAATGCTCACGTACCTTAAAATTGTAAGTTATATTTGTTAGTTACGCTTAAACTTTAAACATCAATTTGTTATATCACAATTTTGACGTCATCATACTATTTACGAAAATTTAATACTGTTTTTTTTTTCTTTGCATAAAATGCATATTTTCTTTCATGCATACAGTTAGTCAATAAAGTCTGCGTACATCAAGAAAAGTAATATCAAATCCAAATTTTAAGGTGC